CGCTCCTGTGCGTGAGGTCGCGGCTACGCAGAAGCAAGCTGGACGTCTCCAAGATGGTGCCAAGTGGCGCATGTGCCGCTGTGCCACGTGCTCCCCGTGGGACCGGCTGCGCCGGCGGCGCCGGCGGCGCCGGCGGCGTTGCACTCGACGAACATTTCTGCCGGCCGCGCAGCTCGGCGACGCACGGCGCAAGAAGCGCGTTTGAGCCGGTGCAAGGGGGCGCGTTAATATATTTTTTATTGGGTGCAATTTCGAACAATTAGCCATCTCAGACATTGTTGGTACGTCCGATCGACATCATCATTGGTTCACTGCAGCTCAAAGACTCCGTAGTCCTACAAGGCGTGCGGTGAAGTTAGGAGACGTCCACGTGTGTGCTCGGCGTTCGAAGGCGTGAAGAGCAGAATCGGTGATCTCGTCGACAATGTGTTCAGGGAGGCAGTTCCATATATCCGAGCAGCGGAGTAAAGAAGAAGGGAGCTTCTCTCCGTGGAGCAATGTTGTGGCAACTGGGGGCTAGGGCGTGGCTTGGCAGGGGTTGTGCTTCATCGCATGTCACGGCGTCTTTCGTATGAGGGGAGCGCTAAGATGGGCGCGGGTCGGTCACGAGCCAGGAAGTGGGGAACCTAAAATGGTGGCGACACCTGTCGCGTAGAGCAGGGGCCCCCAACCCCCGGGCCGCACAGCAGGAGGTGAGAGCGGTGAGTCCGCACGTGGCCCGCCTATTGTTTTATTTACTACTTCCGTCCGCGCCTCTTTCCCACACTGCGCATTTGTCTCAGTCACAGTTTTGGTAAGTCCACAAGCTGACCCCTAGTAGCAAAAATGAGTAAATAGCAAACGTCGCTGGAGAGCTTCTTTGAAAAGGGGGAAAGACTCAATGATGAACACTCCCCCCCCCCCGGTCCGTGAAAAAATTGTCTTCCACGAAACCGGTCCCTGGTGCCAAAAAAGTTGGGGACCGCCGGCGTAGAGGATCCCTCCTCGGGACCGCTGGTGGGCACGGGCGCTCGTCCGCCCGAAAAAACTTGAACGTTGGGGTTGGTTTCATTCACCAGGCTCGTGTTCGTAGATCTAAAAGTTCATGGTTAACCTTGAACCACTGTTGTAACCTGAAGTGGAAATATCCGGTGTGATGACGGCGATTATGGTGTTGTGCGGCGGTTAGAGCGCTGCGCTACGAACCAACGAGTTTCATTCCGGCTCACGGCCAACACCTGCGGTGATTATCTGAGCCAGTCCTGGGCCTCCCCTAAGTCAGACGTGGTGCTGGCCACGCAGCCCCACGTGTGCCGTGCCGCCCTTCATGGGTGCTCTCTAACGCCAACAGCACCTGGCCGAACAATTTGTTAAAAGGCTATACGAGGGGGGGTCTTTGTGCGGTTGACAAATGGAGCCAGTGGCAAGATCGGCGGTGTCACAGATGATCACGTGTCCGTATCGCGTGTCGTGTGTCCGTGCCGTGTGTCCGTGTCGTGTCAGCTGGGTGCAGCGAAGACGCCACGTCTTCACAAAGCCACCCCTCCACCGATCAAATGTGTATTTTACGCCGCAGCCTTAAGAGAGCTGGAATAAAAAAAAGTAAAAGGCCCGTGGGGTTCAGGGGTAGAGGCGCGTCTCGGCTGGCTTCGGATTACACGGCCGTGTCGCGGCTCGCCAGGTACGGGGCGGCGGCTGCTTCGATGGTTCATCTTCGTCGCTGTTGAGGTGGCCACGAGACTTCGGGCGCAGCATGCGGTAACAACCGGCCGCCTGAAAACGTTGCCAGAGATCGCGCAGTCGAAGTCGTTGGGTTGGCTCGACTCGGCGTCGTTCCGGGGTGGATAGGATTGACCACGCCGTGTGGGAAGGCAACAGTGGTTGTTGTTGTTGTTGTTGCGGTGATGGAGAGAGGACCCGGCCTCCGCCGTCTCAATGTGGAATTTAGACCGCTGCCTCGGGGCCACCGGCACGGAAGACGACGTGGACTGCCCCGAAGCGCATTCGAGCCGAGACCCTGACCTGAAAAACCAGAAGTACGGAACGTCAGAGAAAACACCCCGTGTTAGAATCCACGGTGACACAAATACTAATTTTACACTATTATGACCGGCAATTGTGACAAATAAGCTCTAAAACCATGGAAAAACAGCTGCCGGGCGGTTATTGTTGTAATCCACCCGTAATTACCGCCTTGTTCAACGTGTCTGGAATATACCGCGTCCAAAACCCCTGCAGCTCCACTCACGATGCATTTGCTGGGCCACTGCTGCCCCCGTTTAAAATCTCTGAGTACAGTCGCGCAAATAAATTGTGCACTCGCCAAAACTCGGCTGAGACTTTGTTAGGCAGCGAGTAGCCAAGACTGGACCCTGTGCCCAAAAACAGCTTCCTGTGACCGCGCAAGCCTCGAGCCGAACAGCGGCCACTTTGCCGCTGCGTGGTGGCCGAGTTATTGCTGTAAATTATGAACGATTTTCACGTTGTCTTTCTCTCCCCCCCCCCCCATGCCTTCCTGTGCCAGCCGCTCAAAGTGAGTCACATTCCACGGGAAGGGCCGGGTGTGGTCTTTGGCCGCACGGCTCGGGGTGTGGACTCCGATGGGAGTGGCTCAGCTGCTGTGGCTGCCTGCCTGGCTGGGCGAGTTAGTTCGTGGCTGGGTGGGGTGGGGGGTGATGGTTCACTTGGGGAGCGGTAGCGTCGCGGTTCGTGCACGGCGCTACGAACCCGGCCACCCGAGTTTGATTCCCGCTCACGGCCAACACCGGTGACGATTATCTCAACCGGTCCTAGGCTTCCCCTAGGTCGACTCAGCCTCAGACGAGTACCTGGTGCGGTGTGTAAACATCGCCGCCTAGGAAGACAAAGGCGGCCAGACGTGGTGTTGGCCGACCAACCCCCTCTTGTGCTCCAGAAGCCTGTTGAAGCTATGATACAGGGGTCTTTGTCTTTAACTTCGATGGGTCAGCAGGGGGGTGAGAGAGAGAGGGGAGGGGGTGGAGAGCGTTGGGTTGAGGCCTCCGCCTCGTGACCGGTGGCGACCAATCGGATTTGAGCGCCGAGGGCGTGGTAACAATACCGGTCGCCATGGCTACGGAATAACTCTGAAAATATTCCCGGCAAACACTCATTTGTTTTTTAATACTTTATTATTCCCGTCAAGTTTGGGGGGGTCGGCGCCAGGGTCTCTGTTGGTAGAGCGCCGCGTGGCAGGGTTTGGATTGTTGTTGTTATGAAGAGGCTGAACGCTGAGAGGGGGGGGGGGGGGCTGCAGTGAGACGTACACGTGTGTGCGGCTTGGCGTTAGATACGTCGGTGGGGGCAGTGGCACGCCGTTCGGCCTACAGCAAGTGGCGGTGATCTTTTTAAAACCGGTCGCGATCCTCGTCCCCTTCGCCCCCTTCACCCAAGCGCGCTGTGGGCGTGGTGAAGCGCGGTCAGAATGAAACACGACACCAGCGACTCGGTGTGGTGTGGGGGGGGGGGCCTTCGTCCCCACAGTGGATTGTGCAAGGGGCTCGCGGACGAGCGGAACGTGTGACCGCTGAGTGGTGAAGGCGGCACCGCGTGCCTCTCTGCTGGCGGCGGCCCCGCCTGGCCTGCCGAGCAGCCCCCGGCCCCGCCTGGCCTGCCGAACATCCCCCGGCCCTACCTGGCCTGCCGAGCAGCCCCCGGCCCTGCCTGGCCTGCCGAGCAGCCCCCGGCCCCGCCTGGCCTGCCGAGCAGCCCCCGGGCGACGGCGTCGCTGGGGAGGGCCCAACGCGCTCCGCTCGTCGGCACAAAAAGGCGCAAAGTCCACGTCGAGTTTTGGCTGCGGCAGCGGCGTCGCGTCCCCAGTTTTCTCGTTTCGAATGTTCCCTGGCCACGTTTTCCCGCGAGCGCCGCTGACCCAGTGCCCTCCGGGATCAATCCTCGCGCAGCTTTTGGGCGTTAGGTGACGGGGGCAGTGCGAGCGGCTCATGGCGGATGTCTCTTCACCGACGCGCCACTTCACAGCTCAGGATTTCGGTGGCAAACGTTCGATTTACTTGCGAACTGCGCGATCAATTTTCAGCTTTGACGGTTACGAACCGACCGGGAGGCTAATGGACTAAAACATTTTCGTTTTGACTTAAAAGTGCCCCTCCGCGCTGGTCGCAGAGCAGAGAAACAAACTCGACAAGATAAGCGTAAACATACCCCGATGGTTAAAAAAATCACGAGTTCATTTCTATGATCGCAAAGCACCGGATGAGATCGCGTCCATGCATAGAGACCTGGTGACATTTGACTATCGCAATGAAAACATAACCACACAATTGCCACCGTGGGTCGCAGAGAGAAGTCAAATTTCAGGCGCACCGGTGACCGAATTCCTCTGCGAGGTCACCGATCACTGCTCAGGGTGTCACCCTGACCCCGCCTCGTATCGCGTCCCCCTTCCGCCTATCTCATCATCTCCGGCGACGTTGGGCGTGCAGAACGCCGTGTTTGTTTACACAAACCCCACGGCGTTTCCAAGCCCGGCCACATGTGGTGGGAGCCACTCGGATTAGAGGGAGGGAGGCGCTGGCTGCGGTCACGTGGTGATGTGTGCAGCGTGCGCGCGTGTCCGTGCGTGTGCGCGTGTCCGTGCGTGCGCTGCATTCGTGCCTCGTGTTACGGAGGAGGGGCCCACGTGACCGATGTAAGAGCCCTGGTTGAGCCGTGCGAGCAGTGGCCATCTTGTGGCAGTGTTGTTGTGCGAGAGGGGGGAGACAAGGGGGAGGGGGAGAGACAAGGGGGAGGGGGAGAGACAAGGGGGAGAGAGAGAGACAAGGGGGAGGGAGAGAGAGGGAGAGACAAGGGGGAGGGAGAGACAAGGGGGAGGGAGTGACAAGGGAGAGAGAGACAAGGGGGAGGGAGAGAGAGACAAGGGGGAGGGAGAGAGAGACAAGGGGGAGGGAGAGAGAGACAAGGGGGAGGGAGAGAGACAAGGGGGAGGGAGAGAGACAAGGGGGAGGGAGAGAGACAAGGGGGAGGGAGGGAGAGAGACAAGGGGGAGGGAGAGAGACAAGGGGGGGGGGGGGAGGGAGTGACGTGCGCTCTGCGCGCTAGCCCCGCGTGCACGGCATCAGCGGGAGCTGCGTCGGCGCCTGGCGCCCGTGCATCTCGCTGGGAGTCTGCTTACACTCGTGGACAGCGTCAAGGCTAGCAGCGTTTCTCTGAAGAGAAAGAAAAAGGGAGATTTAAAAACAAAAAAATCCGTAGCACGAATTTTTTTAAAATTATTTTTTTTGGAATTTTGAACCCGTGCGACGGGGCCTCGGGTTGGGGGCCTCGTGCTCCCAGCTTTCTCCGGAGCGATCGCACGTGGAGGCTGCTGTGAGGGCGCGTAGGCCCTCTTGTTGCGCGAGCGGCGATGGGGCCCGGGGTCTAACGAGGCCCGGGGCCGCGTACTGCGCGGGCCTGCGGGTCCCGCTCGGCACGTGCCCGCGCGGGGGCTCCTCCGGCGTGCCCCCCCACGAATTCTTGCAGCGCCGTTCCGAGCGACCGAGCGGCAGAGATTTCGGTTTTTGTTGTTGTTGGGTTTGGTGCATTTTTGTTGTTGTCACGTGACCCCTACATCGGGGCTTCAAAAGTTTTATTTTTTTGACAACGAAAGCAAGAAGAGGGGAAGAAGCAATCGCCGAGCCGCCTGCGGGGGGGAGGAGGGGGGAGCGTGAGAAGCCGGAGGCGAAGCTGGCGAGGTACGTACGGTCCCAGCGCCTTGCACTGCAGCTCGATACCCCGACGGAGCGACCCAGCGTGCTCGTGCCGTGCCGCTCTCGGCGCGGCCGCCAGGATTCCTGTCGCGTTGCCCGCGGGTGAATTCCTCGCCGGTCAGCCGCATTATTTACGAGCTCCTTTTCAAAACGCCGCGCCACCCCCCCCCGCCCCCCCCCCCCGGCTCTTTGGCTAGGTCCTACGTGACTTTACCGAATAGAACCAAAGAGTATGGATCCTTGCAGTCACGAAAGCTTTTAATTCTAGAATAGGTCCGAGCTGTTTGACCACAGCCCTTGGCCTCTCCGGGCCTGCTCAGCCGTGGCCTTGACGCGCCGCTGCCTCTCTTGACCGAGGGAGTTGTTTTGGGTCTTCCCAGCGATTTGAAAATCGGCCGTCGCGCCCGGCGAGACCACGCGTCTTAGCATCGGTCGCTTAACGATGTGTGCCAATGATGTGCCTGTCTTATGCCGATGGTGTGGTTAGGCTCGCAGAGCATATGCATTTGCACAATTGAGACGGTGTGCATTTGACAAGAGAACGAATTGAGTTTTGAAACGTTGGTGATCAGTCGCCCTGCTGGGGGGGGAGGTGGCTGTGCGTTTGCGACCTCGGGGGTGCGGTGCCGGTAACGGCGCGCGCGTGGACCTCGGTAGGCGCCACTGGGGAGACAAAGGCGGCCGGGCGTGGTGCTGGCAACCCGCTCCCCTCGTGCGTCGTTCCGGCCTTCGCCAACAGCACTGGCCCCAACAGTCTGTGGAGGCCACACCGGTGGGGGGGGGGGAAGGTGGAACATCATTTTGTCTTCGTGGGCCTCGTGGTGGTGTCCGCAGGACGGTTTCGGGTTGCCTTGGGCGACGTGGGAAATGTTTCGAGTTTCACTCCTCACGGGGGACGACTCCCGTGACGAGCACGGCGAGGGGGAAGCCACAGTCGTCCAGCATTGGGGTGGACAGAATGCTTTGTGTTTTCATTTATCGTCGACAAAAAAATCAACTTGTCATTGGGCGAGCTGATTTCACCCCCCCCCCCTTCCCATTTGATGCAATCTGCTGCATGCACCTTGCGGAATAGCTTTGGCGTAAGTATTTAAACTTGAGGCATTTGGATGTCGTGGACGAGATTAAGGGTGAATGATTAACGGTGAAGCGCTTCGAAATGTATCCACGGTATGATGCTCCATTCATCAGGCACACTCCGTGCGCGTGGCAGAACTCTGCCGAGAATCTGAATGGGGAGTGCACGACCCGCGCGCAGGGAGACTTTATGGCGGTGGGAATTAACTTAAATTAAGGCGTGTGCCGAAGGTCAGGTGGCATTACCGCCCATGTACTGATTAACCTGGCAAACTTCACACTATCGATTCTACCACCCTCACTGTTTATAGTCTCTTGTTGTATCCTCACACTCCCGTAAAATTTTAAGTGTGCGCCATTCGCCCGATGGTTTAAAATAAAAAAAAACATTTGCGCCTGACTCGCGGACGTCGCAAACGTAGGAACCAACTCCCGGGCGTGCGACCGTCCCGACGGTCATCGAGAATTACCATCACGCCCACCCTGCCCGCTGGTGGCCCTTGACGCTCCGTCCACTTTGTTAGCTTCGCCGGCGCCGCCACCACCACCACCGCTGCCCAGGGGGGGTGGCAAGGGAGGGGGTCTGCTCAGGGACGCCGCAGCCTCCCGGCTAAATCCGCTGTTGGGGTCCTCTGTGGCCGTGGCTTTACCCCCGGGTGACGCGGGCGGGCGGGCGGGCGTGCGGGCTCACAGATCCGATAATGGACAGCGAAGGGGCCGTTCTCCCAAAATGTCCCCTGGCCGCTAACGCGTTTCCCCTCCCGGGCAGCGGTCCTGACGATTAGTCTCGGTTGTGTTTTGAGCAATTGGCAATTGTCCGAGTGTTATTTTCGACGAGTGACTCACCAACGCGCCGCAGGAGAATGCCCCCCCTGCCCTCCGCATTCTCCCTCCTGCTTGCGATTTTATCCACCCGGCGCGGGAGCTCGCACAGAGGGTAGCCACTGCCCGGTGAAGCAAAGGGCTGTGGCAAGTTACAGCCAGAACTTCCTTTGTGCCGCACGGAGCAAATCGCGCTCGTTAGAGGCGCGATGACAGATGAAGGCTTTTCCCCATGCCGTTTCGATCGTAGGGGATGTTTGACAATTTTTTTTCGTTTATTTTACCAGGTAAGGCACCACTGAGCTACGTAGCTCTTTTTCAGAAGTAACCTGGCCATCACAAATGATAGCCCAACTAAGTGGCTTATGTGGAAATTAGAGCAGCCAAATACTCTTAAACGCACGTTTCCAATGTGGAGGGATAAGCCGGAGGACCTGGAGAAAAATCTACGTGACCAGATGGAGAGAGACACGAAACTCCAAATATACAGCAGGTGTCAGGGTTGGGATCGAATCCACAATCTCCTGCATACCAGGCGAGGGAGTTAACATCTCACCACCGCGGCGCCCCTTTATACTTCACCACACCGGTGTGAAGGGGGGGATGGGGTTCAGATATCGGTTGCCACTGATGGTTAGCCGTGGCCGGTAATCAAACTCGGGTCGCCTGGGATCGTGGTGCGGGCGCCGACCGCTGCGCCGCCGCTCCACCCCATCGCCTGGAGCAGAATCCCCAAGCGTGTGTCCCTCCCTTCCTCCCGAGCGCGTTCCCGAGTCCGCCGGCTGGGCTGTCCGCGGGGGAGTGCTGCCCCTTGGCGGCCCCCCTCCCCCCCCCCCACCCTGCGGTGGTTTTATCGGTGGCACCGCTCGGCGCTCGTTGTGGTGAAATCCGAGGACGCCTTAGGGGGCCCCCCGTCGGGACTCCCGCGCAAACTTGGGAAAACCGAGCTCGTGACAGAGAGCTGCGGTTCCCCGTGCACAGCCCAATCATTCCGCGTGTGTTCAACCGTATTGTTATTATTGTTGAGAGGCGATTGCAACCAGGATATCTCCGCCAGAGGAACGGCACGGTGCCGCTCTTGCCAGCGATTGAGGAATGTGCCCGTCACTGCATCGTAATCGATAGCGAAGCCTATTGATCGTTCGCAGACTGCACTCGGCGTGTTCTTGTGTAGACCGCACGCTGCACGTTATGCGTCTGCTGTGCACCCGATATGCGTTTCGTGTGCGTGTGTGTGAGACCAGTATCCATTACGCCATTACAATAGGTACATTGTAACTTTAACTTAAAAAATATTTTTTATTTTGCTGGGCACACTGAGCTAAATAGCTCTTTTTTCAGAAGCAAACTCACCACAAATAATGGTGCAACGAAGTGGCTTATGTGCAAATTAATAGCGGCCAAATAATTTGAATGCACATTTCTAAATGTGGAGGGACAAACCGGAGGACTCGGAGAAAAATCCACGCAACCATGGGGAGAACATGTCCTGTGTACCAGGCGAGGGAGCTAAGTTACAACTCTAGAATCCACTGCCGCGTGTAGGCCTCCCCACACCTCGTATTGCGCTGAGAGTATTGTTTGACCATACTTCACCAGCAGCGGGGGGTGGGGGAGCTGGGCTGCGGAGCGTGCGCAGGGACCGGTTCGGACATCATCCGCCACCGATGTCATCCGTGGCCGGGAATAGAGCGGGGGTCGTCGAGACCACGGCTCGGCTCGCCAACTGCGTTGCCACCGTTCCACCCCCGACCTACTCCGTCACGGTATCCACCACCTGTCGAGCTCGTGCGTAGGCATCGTGCCAGCACGTTCACGCAAGACGCACGGCATGGCAGTGGCCGAGAACAATGTGGGTATTTTGCTCTGCAGCGTTTTTTTTTTCCAGGCGAGGTGGGGGGATGACCCATTTTGGCGCAGGTGACCCCTGTGTGTGTGGCGATTAATCACCCACCCTCGCTGAGCTGGGAGGGTTCCCTCTGAGCCAGATTGTAACTTGGAAACACGGTCATCGAAGACGATGCGGCTTCGTGTTGCCCCGTACGTACAAACGTATCTTAAATCCTGCATCCCTGGGCATTCAATATCTCTCAATTGTGATGTGGTTGGCATTTGCGATGAAGCCTATCGCATTGTAACACGTCTCTTCGCCCTGTTATCTGTCTTTTAACGCGCGCACAAATGTTATAAGGTGAGCTGCTTCACTCGTTTCCAAACATAGTTTTCGCTTACCGCATGGGTGGGTTTATAGCCAGATGGGTAACGGCACCAAATTGTAAAGTTCCTATCATGCGGCAGCATCATCGGGGGATCGTCGCCGTGGGCTCATCGCGGGGTCATCGCAGGGTCGTGGATCCCAAGTGGTTTTTGGCGCTCCACTAACGATGTTTTGTGACGCACGCACGCACGCAGCGGCTGCTGCTGCTGCTTGACAATTGCACTGACACACGGGCGTTCCCGACAAGTGCCACGTTAACACGAGGAATTGCTTGTGCGCACACAGCAGGGAATAAATAAATATAAAGTTCCGCAAATATGAATCGCATTTGCGCTCTAAAAATCAGCCCGCGGTCATTCCGTGGCGGGACAAAGGACCAAGATGAGGGCACGCCACCACCGCGTACCGTATCGTTTCACACGTAGACCCGGAGTTCCCCGTAGCGCTCGGCCACGCAGCTTGAGAAAGTTGTTGCTCGTTGACCGCGTTGTAACGGCGCGCGTTCCTCGTTACGCGAAGTGTTCCCTCAAAGAGGAACTGTTACACGCATTAGGCAAGCATTTTCCATCTTTCAGAATCAGAGTGGTGGGCGCTGGGGCGGTGGGCGCTGGGGCGGTGGGCGCTGGGGCGGTGGGCGCTGGGGCGGTGGGCGCTGGGGCGGTGGGCACTGGGGCGGTGGGCACTGGGGTGTGGGCCACTCCCCCAACCCAGGTTCACACTCCTTAGCGTTCCATAATAATCATAATCTTTAATTTAAAATGGAGGAATCCGATGAGCTACAAAGCTCTTTTTCACTGGTGTCCAGTAAGGGCACGGGGTAAGAACGTTACAACGACAAACAAACCAAAACACGATAGGAGTGCAAAGTACAAGAAAGGTGAACAAATCACCGGAACACAAACAGATAAAAACAAAACCACCCCCATCTTAGCAGGCAAAGCCCACTGAGGTGTATTAACTTATTTTCACAAGCGACCTGGCCACAAATGATAGCTCAACAAAGTGGCTTTAGAATATTTATATCAGCAAAATAATCTAAATAATCCCAATGCCTGTTTCTAAATGTGGAGGGAAAAACCGGAGGACCCGGGTAAAAAATGCCAGCCATCCAAAAACCCATCATCCCTTAATCATGAATTATAATCAGGCGACAGGTTCAAAAGTTGGCGTTGTAAAAGTTTACCCACACGCACGCCCGCAGTGGTGGCGGTGTGAAGATTCTATCGCGTGAGTCGGAACTCTAAACCTCCGCTCCCCCGCTGCGGTGACGGCGACGCTCGGCGAGGTTTGAAGGGAGTCCCCGGGGTCTCCCCAACGCGCGTGCGATCGAGCGTGGCGGTGACCTCGGTCTCTGGACCTCTCGCCTGGTCTCTGGACCTCTCGCCTGATCTCTGGAGCTCTCACCCAGTCAGACAGAATAAACTCTGCTGTTGAAGATCTGAAGCGTTTTTGGTTTAAAAAACGTTACACTTTGGCGCTGCTTGAACCACGCAGCTCACGCCGCTGCCTGACTGTTCGCGACACCGTGCGACACGCGCACGCCATAATTCCACACGTCATCCTGGGGGACTCGCTTTGGCAACAGAGCCGCGCGTTGAGCCGTTCCGTGGCTCGGAGGCAACAAACAAACGCCTGCGCCCATCTCCTCCAGCGATCTTTCCAACCGCAGTTTCTGACCGCGGTCCTTTCACTCCAGTTGCCCGGTTCTCAGCAGCTCGTTCCCGAAGGGAAGCGCTCCGTGCCTCCCATTTAGCGCGGGTGGCCTACATACTTTGCGGAAAAAGTTCTATGTACACTCCAGCCGGGAGAGTCCAGCTCTCATGCTGATATTAATTTACACTTGATAATCCACTTTTGTTGATTTATCATTTGTGGCCAGGTTGCTTCTGAAAAAAAGCTACACAGCTCAGTGAGCCTTAGCTGCTTAAATAAAAACATTGTTCAATGGCTTAGTTTAAACTGCAGCGCACGGGACTTGTTCTGTCCGCCAGTCGCAGCGCTCACTCGGGATCAGTGTGGTGTTGACGCTGAGGTTGCATGCACGATGATGCCGTTGTACCTGCACCGCCGCTCGTCGAACAAACGGTGACAACGGACCGTGAGAGTGATGTCGGGGGAAGGGCGGTCGGTGGGGGGCCACCTGAAGTGAGCGTCGCCGTCGGCGGTTTTGTGTGCCAGGAGCCGGCGACGTGCCCCCTGGGACGTGGTTCGGGGATGGACTTCTCTCCCATTCACACGTACTCCCCGCCAGAGTTCGCGCCCGACAACACGGGGTACACCTACGCGCTCAGGTAAGTCCCCGCACCAACTCACTCGTCGTCGTCGTCGCTATCGTCACCGTCGTCATCACCGTCACCGGTTGTCTTGGTCAACCCACTGCTGGTTGAAGGCCTCGCCAAGCCATCGCCATCTCTGCACGCGAGCTGAGCTCATCACTCCTTCTCCACGGGGCATGTTCCGTTCCTTTGACTGCCGCCCTGTTTATTGTTATTCTCGGCCGTTGTCATCCCCTTCCAGCTGCGACGACGCACCCGGTCTGGTCTCCGTCGCCTTGTGTGTCAGCGGTGCGATGTCTGTAACCTGCGCGTGTTCTCCCGTCCGTGTGTTCTCTTACCTCTCCGTGTCATTTTAAAGCATTCATGTGACATTGCTGCTTTTACGCACTTTTCAATTTTCGTTCGATTGAGCTGTCAACGCATATGGGCTCGTCTAAGAGGGAGCTGCGGTTTCGTGATTGTTTACCTTTGCTTTCGGTTCCTTACTCCTCACTTTGAGTAATTTTGATCTATCGGTGACCTACCGATGTCATCCAGTGAGTGACAATAATCCACAAGGTTGGTCACGCGTCCGTCCCCGCGGCTTTAGAGGAAAAGCGGTTTAGGGTTCTTAATGAACATACTCTTGGGTTCTTTTGGTAAAGTCACGTAGATAGAAAATTAAGAGATCACGTGACGTTTCGATCGCAACACAAGCAACCGTCATCAGGTGAAACAAACAGCAGGAGAACTGCTGACGTCGGCTCCTACGTCAGCAGTTCTCCTGCTGATGACGGTTGCTTGTGTTTCGATCGAAACGTCGCGATCTATTCATTTTCTATCTACGTGACTTTATCGAAAGAATCAAAGAGTATGGATTCCTGCAGTCACGGAAGCTTCAAATCAAGCTTCTTAATGAACGTCAGCACCCACTTCAACCCGGGCTGTCGGCGAATAACGATATGCTGCAGACGCACCAATCGGAGGGCAATCTCCGGGAACTGGCACAGGGTCCTGCCGTTAAATAATTGCGTTGTCTGGGGAGAAGCGTGGCTCTCGGAGAGAGAAGTGGTGAGCGGAGATTGCCTCTAACTTCTGCTTATGAAACACAATCGCTATTTTTCCTCTTATTTATTTATACATCTATTTATACAAAAAGCCAAACAAGCGACGACGTTACTTGCGGCCATCCGTGATTGGTGGGGACGTGGTCGCTGTTGCGTGCGCCGTTGGGGTGGCTGGATTAGCCACCTGCCACAGCCTCGGCGTTCCCGGCGAGTGGCGGCGGAGTGCACGTGTCGAGGCGACCCGCGGCGCCGTGTCCACGCACGTCCACGCGCATTCCTGCACGTCCATGCGCGCCCACGCGTGTCCCGTGCGTGTCCACGCGTGTCCGTGCGTGTCGACGCGACGTCGTGCGTGTCCGCGCGCGCGCGCGCGCCGGGTTGTTGTGAAAAAGTCGGCCGGCGTAAACGTGTCCGTGCCATCGTCATCTCGCCAAACCGTCGACCGTGGCCCGCCGCCCGGCCGCAGCGCGCCGTGCATGCGGCGCTCTCGTTACCTCCGTGAAATGTTTACCCGGGGGAAGTGTGGGCACCCACCCACCACCCACCACCCCCCCCCCCCACCGTGTTAAGCGCCGGGATAGATTCGCTGGAAGCGGCGCAAAGTCGTTTCACAATGAAGTTTTTTTTCAGGGCTGGGCCATCGCTCGCTGGGGTTACGCTTTGAGATAGCGCAATCCTCTGGAGGGGAAATGTCGTTGAGTTTCAGGTTGCCAAATACTTTGAGGGGTGTAATTCAGATGCTAATTATACAAATAATTAGTGGGCACGTTTTAATTGCACGCAGTGCGGACCCTGCCCGTGCCTGCTTGGAACCCGTGGGTTGGGTCTGACGGGGTGTTGAGTTAAACTATTTGTATTGTTCATTGCTACAAGCCGGCAGGCGGCTTGCGAGTCTAGCCGAGTGTTTCTGTACAGGAGCTGGAGATACGCTCGCTCTTGTGCAGTGAGTGAAACTATAAAATAGAACTACTATAAACGATTTTTATTTTACCAGGTAAGGCCCACTGAGCCATATAGCTTCTTTTTCAGAAGCGACCTGGCCACAAATGATAGCTCAGCAAAGTGGCTTATCACGTGGAAATTTATAGCAGCCAAATACTCAAAATGCGTGTTTATAAATGTGGAGGGAGAAACCGGAGGACCCGGAGAAAAATTAACATGACCTCCTGTGTACCAGGTGAGGCAGATGACATCTTGCCACCATGAGATTCTGGCAGAGGTTTCCAAAAAAATTGGGATTCATTGCAAGGGGTTTGTGATACGATTTGATACGCTGAGTGCGTGGGGGGGCAGGGGGTGGTGGCACAGTGGTTAGCGCATTGCACGACGAACCCGGCCACTCGAGTTCGGTCCTCGTTCGCGACCGACCGATACCTGCGGCGAAAGTCCGAACCAGTCGTGAGCCTCACCTGATGCGTAACCGTCAGCACCGGGGAGACAAAGGTGGCCCAGCGTGGTGCTAGAGAACGGCCCACGGAAGCCGATATCACAGAACTACCGCTGACATGAGTCCGAGCGACCTCTATCCCCGTCGGTGTTTAATGGGCAATTGGATTCATTGCCTGCTCATTATAATTGTCGGTGCCTCTTATCCACCACCTTACACCACAGCTAAACCCAGGCCCTTAAGCGCTCTGTGCATTTATTTACACACTGTACACGGCTGGTTTTATTGTTGGGAATTGTTCACGGGAACTGTTGACTTGCAGTGTTTGCTGCTCCCTGGTCTCATGTTCATTCTCGACCACGTTATTCTCGGCCGCGGGGAGGGGAGGCCTGTGTAACGCTTGAAGGACTTACGTCACATGCGGTACTCGTAATGGGAAACCAGCAAAGCGCTCACATCTCTTGTCAAACTCCGTCCTTTACCTGTCTTGTACCTCGCGTTGCGGGGGACGCCGCCGCCGCCGCCGCCGCCGCCGCGAGGAGGACCGCTGTGGACGCGAGCCAAAGCAGCGGCGCCCATCGCTTCAGCTCCACTCGCGTCAAATGCTGGGCCTCCGTTGTATTGACTTGCTGAATAAATAAGAATTTAATCATTTAGAAAGGGGGTCCGAGCATTCGACAGCAGTGTGGGGCTAAGCCGTCTTCAGCCCAGCCCCCTCCACCTCCCCCCGACGCCACGGGGCTCGGCGGTCAGGTTTAAGCGACGCGCGCAGCCGTTGGTGAAGCCGCCGTGCCAGCGGCGGGAGCACAAGCGGCGGCTTTGTGCGCTCGCCGCTGCTCGCGCGGGCGGCTGGCGGCAGCCGGGGAGCACCTGCGCGTGGAGGAGGTGACCGGTGGGGTGCCGGTGAATTAATCCTCGCAGCTGCGCGCTGCCGTCGTGAAATATTTATTTGTCGGCAGCGCTGCGCGGCGCCGCCACGTGCCGGGGGGGGGGGGTTCCGCCGTTGTCTCTCTGGGAAACCGCTCGGAGTTGCCGCGCGCACGACATTCGTTGGAGCGTCGCAAATCAACGGCGGCTGCCGCCCGACCGACGGAAACTTTGGCCGCGTCGCCTCGCGGCGCTGACGGCGGGCAGCGCCGTGGACTCTCGTCGGGGCGCGCGAGCCCGACGCCCGTGGCAGCGTAACGCGCGCCTCGAGCGCGTTCTCAACACGCGGTGGGTGGGCGGGCGGGCGAACACTGCCCGCGTAGTTTCTGGCGGTCGTGCCAATACAGCTGTTGGACACTCGCACGTGCCAGGAGCTTCTTGATGAATTTAATTTAGAATCGTGCGTTTATATAGAGTGTTCGGCTGCTGCTATAAATGTCCATGTGACAAGCCACTTCATTGGACTATCATTTGTGATGGCCAGGTCGCTTTTGAAAAAGAGCTTTCTAGCTCGGTGGGCCTTACCTGGTAATATCAAATTTAGTTTCGTTTGATTAACTTCTTGAAGAAGTCCCCCGCAAGAGGTCGTGCGTTCGATACACACCCTGACGCCTTTTGTGTATTTTGAGTTTGTGGTGTCTCTCTCCCCGTGGTCGCGTGGATTTTTCTCCGGATCCTCTGTTTTCTCCCTCCACATTTAGAATCAACATCATCACGCGTTTAGAGTATAGAAATTTCCACGCGGTAAGCCACTTCATAGAGCTACCATTTGTGACCAGGTTACTTTTGAAAAAGAAATTTACAGCTCCGTGGGCCTTACCTGGTAAAATAAAAAACTTGATAGTTTTAGTTCATTTAATTCACTTGTTAAAGAAGTTCCCAGCACAGTGCCGAACCACTCAGAAACAACGCATCCGAGTCCGGGCAGTGTCCGTTCCACACGGGCTCTTGGTTTGTGTTTAACGTAATACAACATTTTTGCCATTTGTGCTTTGGGCAGACTGGTCCCCCCTCCATACGAATGTGGAATTTAGATCACGGTCGCATGCATTGCGGATTGCGTCAGGATGACTCGAGCACTGAGCAGCACCGTGAAGGTCCTAGGTGTGGATCTGGGAGTGGCCACTGCCCGGAGTTGAACCGGGTTCTCAGTTGAAGCGAGTCCACGGTGTTGACCTGGTCACCGATGACTGCACGCAAAATAAAATTTATTCGATTTGGTGTTTCACTGAATTTGGTTAACATCCAACTCTGAGACTCAAAGAGCCTTTGGTTTGATTTACATGATTGACATCCATAATACAGGTTTTTTTTTTTTGGTGGGAGATGGCATTGGCTTGGGGAAGTCTTCATCCAGCAGTGGATGGATCGTGGCAATTGATGATGGACCCTCTGTTCACCACGCAAGCAGAGTTTGTCAAGTGTGACCCAGAAGCCACGGCGGTTTTTTCACACGTGGTCCGGCTGCAGGAGCAACACAGAGCCTGAGCAGTGTCCAGCTCGCATCTGCGCCCGACCACATGCCGAGCAGCTGGGCACGGTCGGTCATTCGAAAAATTCGCCCACCCTGCCCCCAACCTCGCGCCCCGCCCCCCACCTCGCTCCCTGCCCCACCACCCCCTCCACCCATCCAACCCCACGGCTCTCAAACGTTG